TGTATTTTAAATTCCTTCGCTCTCAATTCGTATGATGACTACGTTTACAATTGTCTTTTTTATAAATTATCAGAATTTATATTTATCCGTATTTACAGATTTCCATAATTACAGATATCAAAATTTATTGGTCTATATTAACAGATTTCTATATTTTAAGTTTACGAATATTAATGATTGTCTATTTTTTTATGTTTCTAAATTTATAATTGTCTTTTTTTCGACTTGTCTGAATTTATTCTTTTCTTTTTTTTTAAATATCAGTCATTTTAGATATTTATATTCTGATGTGTCTAATTTCACGGAAATCTTTTATTTTGATTTTATAATTTTACGCTTATCTTTTTTAAAATAATTCTAATTATTTTGATTACTACATTTTTTCATTGCTATTTTTTAACTAATCGATATTGACAAAGTATCCTCAATAAGACACATCATTTTTTTATTATTTCTGAAATCTTATTTTTCCATATTTTTCATTTATTGATTTCCTTACTCACAGATTTCCAAAATTTGATGTTTCCATTTTCTGTAAAATTTCCGACCGTAAAGAATCAATGAAACGCATTGTAGTAGAGTAGACCAAAACATTTCATAGGAAATGTAAAAAATTTGTATTTCAGAATTATTTAAACGTAATTATGAACACCATTTTGCACTTTTTGTGATTATATATAATCACAAAAAGTGCAAAATGATTATATATAATTATAATTATATATGATTATATATAATCACAAAAAGTGCAAAATGGATATATATAAAAAAAAATTTGTTTCAAATAAAAAATTTTGATCACATCTAACTATACAAGTCTGATTAGATCTAATTATATAAAGACTCATTCATATATAATCAGATCTGATCATATATAGACTTATATATGGATTATACATGGGGTTAACCCATTATACATGGAGTTATAATTATAACAGCCAAGTATGATTATATCCGAGAAAAAATTTTTATATATATGTTAATTATATATAAGCATATATAATTATATATAATTAGATATGGGACTATGTATAATCTTGCATGGCTGTATATTGCTCCATATATAGTCATATATAATTATATATCTAGCTTCTAAAAACTCTAAATTTAGTAGGAATCTTTTATTTCTCATGTAGAGATCACCTCAAAATGGATTTCAATAAAGTCTACTTTCGATAGGAATTGCGAAGGTGGGTTTTAAAATCTAAAATTTTAATTTTCAAACTGTGACTTCTACAGACTCCAAATTCAGTGAGAATCTTCGTGTATGATGTCCAGTTCAGCTAAAATGAATTTTATCAAATTCCAACCCCAAAAGGGATTGCGGGGGCGTTGATAATGAAAATTTCCCGTTTGTAAAATATAGCTCTTATAGACTCCAAAATTAGTAAGAATCTTCTATATGTGATGTAGAAATAATCTAGGAGCGGATTTTACGACGAATCACCCCCAACCCAATAAGGATTGCGGGGGTAGGTGTTGACAAAAAATAATCTTAATTTCCAAAATATAGCTGGGTCATTCCATGTCAAATCGACCAATAGTTGGAATCGACCCCTTTCGATTTGGACGAATTTTGGTCAGAAGTTTTCTTTTATCATATAACGAAGTTCTGCCAAAGGAAAAAAAATAAGAAAATTTTTTTCAAAAGATATGCAAACTCAAAATTTCGCGATTTTTCCAGTTTTTAAATTTTGTTTTTGTAATATCTCGAACGCTAGTATAGATACAGGAATGATCTTTCATTTGTTTGAAAGGGGATACTTGGAGCTATTGAAAAAAAAATATTTTGGGAAAAAATTACGAAAAATGCCAAATTTGTCAAATTTTGAATTTTTAAAAATCGTCAAAAATGACGGTCGACAATAAATTTTTTGCTCAAATATTTTTGTATACTACCTTGTACCAATCTTAAGAAATCCTGAAATTTTTGGAACTGTGTTTTTTATTTTTTCAAAAATATGAATTTTTGAAATTCGTTAAAAAAAAAAAATTTTCTTAAAATTATTTTTTTCTCATCGTTATGCCACTAAATGACATTTTAACTATTCAGAA